GAGTGTTTCCTCAGAAAATACTGTACTGTACTTGTATGTATTGTTTACTTGAGAATACAACAGAGAATAAACTGCCCAAATACCCTTAAACAAAGGAAAAGTATGTCCTTTATGAAGGCGTAGAGCCTTTACTACATGAAAATGAAAATTAATGAATACGCTGTGTACAGTAATTTACCTGATAAGACAGACCTCAGAAAAATACTTTATGAGGCATAAAGCTGTCTATAATGAAAATTAATTAACTAAGGATTTTTTTGCCCTGCCAGGGTTTGGCCGAGTTATCCAGAGTGCCGGGTTATCGAGTGCCGAGTTTTCGAGAGTCTACTGTATTTTGATTTCTGTTCCATTCACTGTGAAGAGTTGGTAATCTTCTACACAGCACCTTGGAAGGCATGAAACTGGGTAGACGAAGATGTTGGCACCAGTGTCGATCAGGAATGCCAGAATGCCACTTTGGACGTATGGTCAGTGATGAATAAGCAACAGCTTGAATTTTCGGAATCAGTCATCGTCTCTACTGACTCCTGTTTTTGTTTCCCAGCAAACAAGATTATCATCATCGTCAGGCATTGTGCCAAATTTCATATGGTACCAGCAGATATTGTTAGGAGAGGCAGTAGGTAGAGAGTGTTGATTGAGTCTGCCACAGTTTGGGTGATGGTGGCAAGTTGGGAAATTTTTTATTTACAATTTTTTTATGAAATAAAAAAAATGATAACAATGAATAAAATTTTCATTAAATCTAATCCTGCTTGAGATAAGATATACAGGGGTGCACAACCTGCGGCCCGCGGGCCACATACAGCCCCCTATCAATGTTTATGCGGCCCGCGGACGGTACAGGCCAAATCCCTTCTTTCGAAGTTTCTAAGTGTAGAACTTTTTCCCTTTCACAAAGTCATTAGCACCCAACTGTTTTATGACTTCCCCTGAGGTGNCACACAAAATTTTGGAAATAAAATTGTAAAAATAATAATAAAAAGCAGAAATTTCAGCAAGAGCTGCATTTGCCCATGGTGGAATATAAATATTAATATATACAGCATTTCCTTCAAAAACAGTTGAAGTATTTAAGATTGCTTCTAGTTCAAAGTACTGTATTAAGTTATTAGATAAAAAAAATGCCATCAGATTAAAATTGTGCAAGTTAAAATTTCTCTAATAATATTTGAAATAAGTTAATCTTAAAATTATACCTAACTGGTTTTAAAACAGAAAATGAAAGCAAACAGCTAAATTGAATAAATAAATAAAAAAAACTTGGAAATCTTTCTTCTAAAAACATAATCCTCTTTCCCAATTTATAACATTAGAAATGTAATTAGTTTTTAATTACAAAACTTTACCATCAAGTGGCAAATTAAAAAAAATTCAAAACCTAAAAGGAATATAAAACATATTTTGTCTGTTTTTAACAAATTAAAGAAAAACTTATTTCATCTTATGAAAAAATCATTATATGCAAGTGATCCATTTACAAATTTAAATATGAAATAATAATATATACCTTGAGTATCTATTGTTAATGGATGTTGTTGTTCTTGATAGTCAAAATTCTCAAGTATTTTACTAAGTTCAACATATTTCTGCATTACTTCCTTTGAATACCTGCAAATATAAAAAGCATTATTAAAACGGTTTCATTTACATAAATTGTATTTTCATTGGCATAAAATCAGAGGACCGATTATTAAAAAAATTATTTCTTTTGGGGGGACCCTTAACTTAGAGAGACTACTGCATTAAATATCTTAAGAATTGCAAACAGCAACATAGATGACCAAAAATTGAGTTGCTTTTATTCACATTTTCTAGAGTGTCAACAGGATACTTAACCTCAGCAATTCTACTATATACAGGGTTAGTGAAATTTAATTTGTAATATTCCTGATAAAGGTTGGTAAAATACAGCCGAAAACATTAAAAACTAGAGTTGTTACCATAATTTATGGTTATTGAAGTGTTTTTAAGGAGATTTATACTGAATCAAGTATGCTTTCCAACATAACATCACTACTTTTTTAACAGCTGAATTAATATATAGTCTAGTGTTTAATTTCTTTCATGTTTCCTATAACAAAATTAAAAGTAATATCCTTTTCTAATGCTATCTGACATTCTAATCACATTGATCAATATGAGACTAACTACTCATAAATGATCATTATTCATGGCATTAGCAAACAAATAAAAATGTAGTGTATCATGAATACTTTCAATGTCCACACGTAGTAATATTGACTTCAATTAAAAGTCAAGCTGTTTGAAACAAGACATTTTAAAATACACTCACCTACATCCTAATACTTTAATATTCATATAAACCTGGGACAAACAAATTAACTGATCTTCTGAAAAGCTATTTTGATGGCAAATAAGAAATTTCTTTCTTAATTTCCAATGTTCTTCGTGTTCCCAGGGTAAACGATACTTTTCGAAATCTTTATTCATTTCTTTCTTGTGGAAAGACTCGAAATATATTATATTAATCAAGTATTATAATGAAATGTCGAAGAATGTTACAGCTTAGTTTTCATTACTGTAATTCGTGTAGTAATAACAACAACTCTGTTAACGAAATCGAAGCCATTTCTAAGACAAGATACCCCCTTACGGTCTTTATTTTAATGAAAAATAAAGAAAAAAAAATATTTTTTTATAAAACAAATAATTTATTCGATTATTAAAACATTATTTCTTTTGCATTTTTAAAATAAAAAATATTAGGTTTTTTGAAAATCAAGTAAATAATTTTAACTGAGTTGAATATTATAACATCCTGTATGTCAGCACTAGCTGTTACCCGCGACTTCGCACGAGCGGATTCTACAAGCAAATCCCATTTACTGTATATTCAGTATTTCAACAACCATAATAATTGTTATATAACACCTACCGCTGAGAATGATGAGAATTGCCAAGAATCAAACGAACTGTTTTCAATTTGATCAATTTTCTGGAACGTTTACAATCATTCTATAATCGAACCAATATACAATAACAAATTCGAATTTAAAACGATTCGAACATTTGGTTAAAGAATTGAAATATATAAAAATATTTATAATAATGTCTGAAATGTTATCAATTTAATACACTCAATGAAAACCAAACGTAGTTGAAAACAAAAATTTTCATCTAAAATAGTACAGTAGAAGCTGTTCTTCAGGTTAAGTCTTAATCCTCTCTCTCTCCCCCGCGAGGAAAATTTCCAAAAATTCCATCTTAGTGTGCATTCTTATGGCGTGCCCTGTGTATAAAATTTTACCTCTTTAGGTTCAGCGGTTTGCTCTGGGCGATGATGAATCAATCACTCAGGACAAGTAATTTTATATATTTAGATTGGCAATGTCGGAGCCGTGTTCAATATCGTAGAGTACCTAGATTATCAGAGTAGCGACAATGGGTTGTCAAATTTTCTATTGGCTAATTGTATTACGTGGTTAAAATCCATGTTCTGTCAAAAAGTGCGCGTGACTCTGTATATTTTGGGTTAAACTTACCTACGTACACCGTCATGGCCGCACAGTGAAGACCCACGTTCAAACCTAACGTGGACAAAACCCGGAAAACTCCACGTGGCCAGTCTGTCCTTGCAAGGCGCGAACCCACAACCGAATTCCCACTGTTTAGGAAACGGAACCGTTTGGCCTGAACCTGTTACTCGTATCGCTCTAATAAAAGTGATCAGATTATTATAAAGTTCGATTTTTCTCTTTAAAATTAATATGTATTTATTTTTTAGAAAATACGAGGGAAGCGGCGCATCCATCGCTTCTAATGACGGCACGCTACTGGACTTCAATACAATTTCTTTAAAAACCCCAAATAGCGTTTATTCAAATATCAATAACAAAAATATACAAATGACGTATTGCTTAACTTTATTACAAAGAAATAATGAAAAACGTTTTCATTGTTAGAATGAGTTCTCTTCGCAGCGATTTTTCTTTCGCCATGTATCGAATAAAACTAGTATATGCCTACTTTGTATAGTTAAAAATATAGTTCTCTCAATAAAACAAGGAAAACCAAAGCAATGTTAATTGCAGTACATTCCAACGGCTTTTAATTGTGGAAATGTGCTTGAAAATTGTCTCATATTATGTGTTAAATTGGGAAAAGTATTAATTGTTTCATTTTTTTATAACCTATAAATTCCCACTGTCGTCCGTCTTTAGAAAAGAGTTAGGCAGATGAAATCCGAGACAAGATATGGAAACCTTAAGGGCAGGAGNACTACCTCTTCCTCGCAGCTGTCACTTAGTGCACAATTTTGGTGAACTTCGCTGTACACGTTCTCGTTTCTCCGCGTTTTTTAAATGATTTATGCATGCTAAACTTGTAAACTTTTTGTTAAATTCAAGTTAGAATGCTTTTATATATGCAATCCTGGAAAAAAGTTTGAAACCATCTGGTTTTCAAACTTCCCATTAAACTTAATTGATATCCTGTAAATATGTTGTTGTTTAAGTATTAAAATAACCATAAACATAAATGTGAAGTAAAAATTTATTTTCGTATTTCAAGAAAAAAAAATTCATATACAAGAAATTATTCCTTGCTATTTGCCTGACAAAGTTTGAGACCATAATTTAAAAAAAAGCCACAAAAACAAAACATAGTGGGAAAAACAATGTTTAATACTTGGTACAGGATTCCTCTCCTTCCCAATTCATCACCAAACG